TGAAAAGGCGTAAGTAAGGGTTAATATTATATTATTTATATTTATCGTTCGTTTTTTGTTAAAGAATCTCATTTCTTAATTATCGTTGAAACATTTGTGTAAGTTTATTTAATTTTGCCGCTTGAAGGGGGCACTATTTCCTTTTTTTGCTTCTTATTTGTTTGCTTAGCCTTGGATGCTTAAAGTTTAAAACTAATATTTTTATTGGGTTTTGGTGGCGCAGGTGTTCAGTAGAGAGTACAGTCACAAGGACTTCTGCCTGGCGCATCTTTTCACTGATCTTAAATTCGAGGGGGGCATCTTGGGGCTTGCTTACGTCGGTTCACCCCGTCGTAATTCTGTCGGGGGCATTTGTACCCCAGGTATTAAACTTTTTCACTTACCAAATGTTTCGTTTTTGTGTGATGTTCTTTTGAAGGGTTGTGAATAACTTGGTCAACGTTTTTTTCTAACATTTCTTCTAGAATACTTTAAAAACGGTTACACTCTTTATTTAAATTCGGGATTGAGTTCAAGCAGAAATCATTATGGACAGAGGGTGATAACCAGAGAGGCAGATCTCGTCACTGCGCACGAATTTGGGCACAATTGGGGCTCCGAACACGATCCAGACATACCCGAATGTTCTCCCAGTGCCAGCCAAGGGGGCTCCTACTTAATGTACACTTATAGTGTCAGCGGATACGACGTGAATAACAAGGTAATTTCAATGATATTTTCTTTTAGAAAGTGCCAAAAACTTTTAAATTCCTTTTGTAGCGTTTTTCCCCGTGCAGCTTACGATCTATACGCAAAGTTCTCCTGGCCAAATCAGGAAAATGCTTCTCGGAACCCGAGGAAAGTTTCTGCGGCAACCTAAGGGTCGAAGGGGATGAGGAATGCGACGCGGGTCTCTTAGGAACCGAAGATAACGACGCATGTTGCGATAAGGACTGCAAATTGCGTAGACTGCAAGGAGCCATGTGCAGGTAAATTAAATTAGATGCGTTTAAAATCGCGAAAATATTGAAAAGATAAAAATCAAATGTTTCAGTGACAAAAATTCCCCCTGTTGCCAGAACTGTCAGTATATGCAGAAGGGAGTAAAATGCAGAGAGGCTCAGTACGCAACATGTGAGCAAGAATCAAGGTGCACTGGATTCCAGGCCGATTGCCCCAGAAGCCCTCCGATGCCAGACGATACTGATTGTCAAGAAAGGGGAAAATGTCGAAACGGCAAGTGCACACCATTCTGTGAAACACAGGGACTTCAGAGTTGCATGTGTGACATAAGTAAGTGACCTACATACTATTAATTATAACTTAAGATTTCTGATTAATAACTGCCTCTACTTTGATTCTAGTCGAGCATGCTTGCAGAAGATGTTGCAGGACTAGTATAAACGAAACATGTTTCCCTGTAGAGCCTGCGGATGTCTTACCTGACGGTACACCTTGTATACAAGGTTTTTGTAATAAGGTACAGACGGCTTACGTGCTTTTTAACGACTTCTTATTCATATGTTCAATGCAATTTGCAGGGAAATTGCGAGAAGACGATTCAGGACGTCGTGGAACGTTTTTGGGACATTATAGAAGACATAAACATTAACAAGGTCCTGTTATTCCTCCGGGACAATATCGTGGGAACGATTGTTCTCGTAACTGCCTTGCTATGGGTCCCTGCCAGCTGTGTGATTGGTTATTTCGACAGGAAACGACGTCGCGAAGAAGAGAAACGTTGGGAATGGAAGAACAGGACTGATCTCATACATCCCTCCGAACCCAGGAGAATAATACACATACGTGTTCCCAGACCTAGACCAACCCTCAACATCTCATAATATGAAATAAAAGTCAAGGTAAAAAACTGAATTTCATTTAACTTAAATTATATTTAAATTATTTTGGTAGTAAAATTTATTACTACTTTATTTACAGTTTGAAAGTTAGACTTGTGTTATAAACATGTATTACG